CTCTTAGGGAGGAGGGAGTCATTCCCTCCCAACCCACTGAACACACTGCCACATCACTTTTTCTCTTTTGTTTTTTTTCATCTTTCCGAACCACAACACACGGAAATCATATCTTTTTGAACCCACTCAACCCACTCAATTAAAAAAAAATACAAAACAATCAAATGTAAAATCTTAATTAGCAATAGAGTTATCGGCGGTACCACTCCCGCTTCAACGAGTGGGTTGATTGGTTTCACTAACCCACTTCATCATCGCTCTCTACTTTCTCTTTCTTATTTTCTCTTGTACCATGTGTTTTAAAACTTGTATCTTAGTTGTTTTGTATTTTTTTTAATTGAGTGGGTTGAGTGGGTTCAAAAAGATAGGATTTCCGTGTGTTGTGGGTTCGGAAAGATGAAGAAAAATAAAAGAGAAAATTGATGTGACAGTGGGTTCGGTGGGTTGGGAGGGAACGACTCCCTCCTCCCTTATGGCGGGTGTTGTTGGATATAATTCATACCTTGGTAAACTTGGTGGCGAGAAATGTTGATATTCCTTCGATTCTTTGTCCTTTATGTGACTTACATGTGGAGGATTCCCATCATGTGTTTGTTCACTGTGAAGTTGCCAGGAATGTTTGGAGAAGAGTGTTCAAGGGACTTTATTTACCCTTTCCTTTGTTCAATAATGTTGATGAGCTTTGCAGTTGGGTGGATTCGAATACGTTGTTGCAGTCAAAGAAGAAGGCGGTGGAGGTCATTGTTCTTACAACGATTTGGATGTTTCGAAATGGAGTTGTGTTCCAAGACATTAAGTTGAAGAGAAGTTCCATTTTTTATAACATTATTTTACATTCGTTTGAGTGGTTTTCTTATAGATATAGTAGTAGTACCATATCTTGGACGTTGTGGTTACGAAACCCAATGCTCAATAACTCTTTGTAATTGTTTTCCCTAGCTCCTTGTTAGGTTGTTTTTGTTTTATAATTAAGTCGTTCAAAAAAAAAATACTAGGAGACACAACTTATCTTTGGTTCAAATCCCACAAACTTTAGTTTTGGACTATCGTTCTAAAAAAACGAGATGGAACAACTTTTATGTTCAGAATATATCGACGTAAGTTTTGGGTTTCTTTTAAATTCAGTCATTCTTTGAAATTTGTTTCAGACTTTTATATAATAGGAGACATGCATCCAATAACGAGGAAGAATTATTTTTTAAAGAAAATGTGTTACAGGTGCATTGGTCAGCATGAAATGTTTTTTTTTTTAGTTATAGTTGGTAACAGACTATTTTGTTTTTATATAAACACCATTGTTCTAAAAAACCATAAATATGTAACAAACTATTTGTTTAATGTTTTCGTTCATAAAATACCATTAAAATAATTGTATTTTATGAACACAAAGTTTAAGTTTGCTTATCTTCTGACAGTATTTTTTTTTAAATGATGGTGCTTTGTGAAAAAAAAAAGTTTCTAAATCTTACCCATTCATGAAATTAACCTTTTTTATAAAGATATTTTTTCAACGATACCAATAATCAATTTTACTTTTAAAACTTTTGTACCGATATATACAAAGAAGAAAAGAACATGACAAAAACCGAATAACTCGGATTTAGGTTTTATATGATTCCGGTTATTCATGAAATTAACCTTTTTTATAAATATATTTTTAATTTTTTTTTTAATTTGAGTTATTTGTTTGGTTAAATGAATGAAAACGATTTGGTTAATTTCTAAATATTTCTACTAAACCGAGTAAATAGTTAGATTAATATTCTTATAGATATAAAATTTACTTTGAAATAGTCTAATTTGCAAGTTGTCAAATGTTAAAACATATAAGACGTGTTTGGCACGAAACGTTTCAGAGTGTTTGAGAGCTTCTAGCTTTTAACGTTTGACAAAACGTTCCGGTTTGAACAGAAGGTCTTGTTTGACACTACAAGCTTCTAGTGTTTAGTTTAAACAAAACGCTCCAAATCCAAAACCTACTTCACGTAATGTTTAACAAAACAACAAACTACAAGTTACCCCGTTACCCGCTACAAGCTACTCGTTACCAGTTAGTTTTACCGAACACATCCAATACAAATGTGTTTCATATTAAAAAGCCCATGAATGATGTCCTTTACAACAATATTGTATTCTATTCTTATTTATTTACTTTTTGGTTGAGTAGATACTATAGGAAGCATATTCCATAGGTTGACTGGTTAAAAAATTTATATATAATTTTAAATTATTTGTAATTTTTTCTGGCATCATGCATATTTCTCAATAAAATCCAGTGGTTGAAAAAAAAATCAACAAAAAATTTCTAGTGTTAGAGACGTATTTTTAATACTAAGTTAATGTTACAATTGATGCATATCCAAGGAAAATTCTAAATTTCTAGAATTATAAATGAATTTGGTCTACCCGGTTAAACAAACAAACAGAATAACATGAAATCAAATAACCAAAAACCGATTTAAATGAGTATATTATGATTACTTTATAGATATAGCATCCAATTAAATTGAACTGATAAAACCTAATTAAGCTGCACTGAATAGACATGGACACATTAAATGTGTAAGACCACAAATATGAATGGAAAAAATCTTTTCACTTTTTGAGTGTTACATCAGCTTTCTCTCACCAAAAGATAAGTAGTCACTTTTCACTACCTTTTATATTTTTATTTTTAAAATATATATATTTTATACAAATGTTATACTCATTTTGTTGATATATTAAAAACCATGAATTTTGATATATTTTTTTATAAATTTTTAGTAGATATATAATTCAATTAATATTAAAAAACTAAAAAAATGATCAATCACACGAGAAGAAAGAGTAGGGGATAGACTCCCCTCATTCTTTTCCTGCGCACATCTTCCCTCACCCTGGATATGGTGTTTTGAGGAGAGAGAGTGAGGGAAATGTTCATTTCCCTCCTTTCCCGCTCCATACACTCTAGCCTAAGAGTGGAAGGAGTTGACCCCTCATAATCCACTCAACTCATCTGCCACATCAGCTTCACATCAATTTCTCTCTTCTTTCTCTTTCATATTTTTCAACCAACAACACATAAAAACATTATATTTTTCAACTAACTCAACACACTCAATTAAAAACATACAAAACAACATATGATACAAGTTCGTAAACATGAAGTACAAAATAAGAGAGAGAGAGAGAGAGAGAGAGAGAGAGAGAGGGGGGAAGCAATTGGCTGAAGAACCTACATGAGATTCTTCACAGTACCCACCGAGGCGCAAATCCGCTACCCTGGCGGTACCAACGATAGCGAGTCTTGAAAAGTTGGAATTTTAGAGTAAAAAATCATATTTGTAAACTTTCTTCTCTTTTACTTCACCAATTTCATATTTAATGTACTGTAGGTTAAAAAAATCTAACCTAGTGTTTATTATTGTATTTTAATTTTATAAACCCCAAACTTCTAATTCTGTGATGATATAGAAAAAGAATTAACCTAGTTTCATGCAGTTAATTGTTTTAATATGTGATTTTGTAGTATGTTGTTAAATTGAATTGCATTTTTGTGATTTCTTTTAAGTTAATTGTTTATATGTTCTTATAAAATCTAATTTGTTATTTTTTTGTTCATACTAGTTTAGACTTAAGTGTTTAGGTCATCTCCACTACAAGTTAAAAAAACTGGGACTATTAGGCATTCACCTATTCTCTTTTACTATTTTTTTGAATAACTTTTCTGCATAATTATGGGCCAGAAATTAATAAAGAAGTTTCCATAATGAATAGGATTAAGGAGGTTATATTCATATATAAACTTTTCAGTTATAACCTCAAATCCCAGTATAATATTGTTTCTAAGCCCACTCATTAAGATATTGGAAGCTTGATGTTGACATATATCAAGAAATATTATATATACTTTTTAATGTTATTATTATTATTTTTCTAAATGTTGGTCTCATGTGATATTCAAGACCAAATGAAGCTGTATTTCTTTATGCAATTTTAAAATCACTGCTATGAATTACAATGATATGTTGCACATAAGCTTAAAATGCAACCGGCTTTAGATGATATTTTTCCTTTCTCGTAATTATTGTCCAATTTTAATTTTTAAAATAGTTATTCATCAATTTTAACCTTAAATAATTTTATTTGTATTATATATTACTTGATAAAACTTATAACAATGAAAAAAGATTTTAAACACAATTCATTAATATATTTTGCATCAAGTATTATATATCTAAAATAAAAATATTTAAGATCAAAATTAAAGAACAAAGATTTAAAACACAATCCATTCATATATTTTTCATTAACACAAATAATGTAGGCAACAAATAATCCCAAGAAAATCTCTAAGTGGGCGTTTGTTTTGAAGAATTTGAAATTATCCAAATTCAAAATCTATCTAAATCTAAATTCATTGACACATTTGAAATACCATAAAATAATAATAATAATAATAATAATAATAATAATAATAATTAATATAAACACCTTCTAAGAACATCAACTTTATCGTAAAGTTCTTTCGTATTTCATCATCACCACATCACCAAAATAAAAAACTATACAAATACAAATTATACGGGAGTTTTTCATATTGTTTTTTTTATGGCTGGCCAATAACAATTATATGAGCATATGCAATAAATAAATGAAAAAATAATACAAATTTGTGAAAAAAAAAAAAAAACAAAAAAAACTCTAACCGTGAAGCTTGTATGAAAAAGCTTTGTTTGATTTGAAAAAATCATTGAAAAAGCTTTCAAATATATATTCGTTTTGGAAAATTAAATTGAATTTTACTTTATTCTCCTACCACTTTATTTATTGCCAATTATTTCTTATGACACTTATCCTAATCCAATGAGTATGAAGAAAAATAAAAAAGATGTATTGTTTCTTTAGGTTTTTATATTATTTCAAAAGTCATATCTTTTGTTTTTCTTGTTATAGTCATCTTTGTTCTTTTTAGTTATTTGTATATTATGCATTTCTACAATACAAAAAATATTTATCTCATTTATAATATTTGTTACCACGTAAATTAATACAAACAATTTCTCTTTTGTGAAAAACTCATTTTTCCAGTTTTTTTAACCCATATCCAAACAATCCCATAATTTGATATTTTTTTTTTTTTTAAACATTTTCTCGATCCTCACAAAGTAAAAGAACAAGACAATATGTATATGTTTTATGGAAATTCGCAAAGGGAGAGAGACTGAGAGAGGGAATCAGGTTGGAAACAGAATTCTGCATGGTTAGGGGTGTGGTGGTGGGGTCACCTACACGTCAAACAACCGGACGCCAATAATACTATTTTAAAATTTAAAACAATCTCATGTCCGTCTACGTCTATGCCCCACAATCCACAATCCTCACACCCTTTTCTCCATCATCATCTTCTTCTTCACATCCTGCAATTCCTTCGTGTTTATGCTACCGAAGCTCTCATAACACCAACAATGGAGTACTCAGAATCCTCAAACGACTATGTAAGCATTCATCTTCTTCTTCCCTCCATATATCCATTAACAATCTTACACATTAATTAATCCTCGTATTACGATTATTTTCAGATTGAAGAATACGAATCGATTTTCACAGCGCTAGAAACCGAGTTACCGAAAGTAGATCGTTTGCCTAATTTCAGCGACGTGATTGACGGAGTTCTTAGCTCTGATGCTTTCACTTTACACAAATGTGTTTATGATTCTTCTACTCATGGTAACTCAATCTTAACATTTTTCTTGTTTGTATTTTTGTATTTGAATCGATGACTTAATCTGTTCTGGTTCTAATTAAACATTGTAATTTAATTAGCTGATGTGGTAGATAGTATTAGTCTTCCAGACGTATTCGAATTCGACGATTACCTTTTGGATTTTGTTAATAACGATGAAACAAGCATGCCGGAGAAGATGGAGTCGAAGACTAGTACCACCACCACCACCGCCACCGGAGAAGTTAACCCGTTGGCTAGGATTTTTAGATTTAAAACGAAACCGAGAGGTAGGAATGTGAAGAGAGGGAAACCTGCAACTTATGATTATTTGAAATCGTTTTGGTATGGATATGGAGATGATGAATCGTTGAAGTATAGAAGCTTTGTTGCTGTTTATGATGATGATTTGAATAGTGGGAAAAAGAGTGAAAAGTGTAATGTCGGGAGAAGAAAGAGGCATAAGTCGTGGTCGGTGCCTGAGGTTTTGAAGTTGTGTGACGGAGTTTCTCAACTTGGTGTTGGGAAATGGACGGAGATTAAACGGTTGTTTTTCTCATCGATTCATCACCGATCATCGGTGGATTTGAAGGTTGCTTTTGGTTTTGTGAAAATATTTTCAAATTTGGTTCATGTTGTAATTTGGATTTTTTTTTGTAATTTTTTAGGATAAATGGCGAAATCTTTTGAGAGCAAGCTGCAAATCACCATGTGTTAAACTAAAGGTATGCTGAAAGAAATTACTTTTAGCAAATTTATGTTCAAGAGTTTTAATTCAAGTGTGGATTAGATTCATACATCTGTAACATAACACCTAACAGACTGTTGTGCATCTTATTACAGTTTGGCAAAAAAGTTTTAATACCAATGTGTATATCGTGTTATATGAGAAAGTTTTAATTCCAATGTGGATTGTCTTGGGAACTTTGTCTTTCTGTCACTGTCGTCACTCTGACAATCATGTATGTCAGTGTCGATCTAGTGTGAGTGTCGATCTAGTGTGATTGATTCTGGACCAATGTGTATGAAAGTTTTAATTTCAATGTGGATTGACTTGGGAATTTGGTCCTTCAGTCACTGTCTCTCTCATTCATGTCTATCAGTGTCGGTCTAGTCGGTCTAGTGGATGATTTCGGACTGATGTGTATGAAAGTTCTAATTTCAATGTCGATTGACTTGGGAACTTGGTCCTTGTGTCACTGTCTCTGTCACTCATGTCTGTCGGTCTAGTGTGGATGATTTCGATGTGTATGGAAGTTTTAATTCCAATGTGGATTGACATGAGAAATGTCCTTTTTGTGGTATGAAAGTTAATTCCAATGTAGATTGACTTGGGAGATGTCCTTTTTGTCTGAGTATGTCTGGTAGACTGACTGTGTCTATGTGACTGATTGTTGTGTATCTGATTTACATCAATTTTAACGATTTGTGTAGGGTGAATGGGTAAAAGGCAATTCTTCACCCACGATACCAAATCATATCATACGTCGAGTCAAGGAGCTTTCAGTGACACATCCATATCCAAGGAAACGACAATTGAAGATCAAACTGTAGAAGTAGAATTATAGTACAAACCTAACCTTTTCTTTTTTGTTGAAGCCTTAGAAAATAGTATTAGATGTCTTATTAGTTACTAGAGTCCAAGATTACTACCTTTTTGACAATGCAATGTGATATGAAGGGTTGTTTTTTTTTTAATAGTAAAGTTAGGTTTTGTTTGACATGATTATGAAATGGTATATCAATTTTCTATCTCTATTACATTTCTTATAATGAATTCTAACAAATTAGAAGACTATAATCGATCGAATTATTTCTAAAGTTAACAAACTTAAAATCAAATTGAATTTGAAAGAAGTTAAAGCTCTTACCAAATCACCTTGGGGCAAATGAAGATGTAAAATCGGTAGGAGCCTGAATAGTATCCGCCCATTTTCTCGAGTCCAAATACAGTTTTGAGATTTTACCCGCCACGCGGCTCATGTTAGGCCGTTTATTCGGATCCTCATCCACACAATCCAACGCTATTCGGGTCAACTTCTCGGCCACCGCCACCGGAAACGAATCCTTCAGCCGCCTGTCAACCCACCGTCTGAGTCTCCATCCAACTTCCGACTCATCTCCTCCGTCGCCTTCCACCGCAAATTTCGCGGTATTCACAATCGAAGTCTTAACGTGGTTCCCTTTCTCCTTATCGAACTTATACTTCACAGGTTCTTCACCTGATAACAACTCCAAAATCACAACGCCGAATGCGTATATGTCGGATTTCTGTGTTGCGAGACCACGAAACTCCGGCGCCATGTATCCTTTAATTCCTTCAAATTGCAAGGTTCGACTGTTAGATCTCGTTAAATTCGTCGGCGGCGAAGATTCCGGCGAAACAACCTCCTGGATCTCGCCGCTTCTTTTGTCATCTTTTACGATTTTTGGCTCGATCACCGTCTCTCCGCACAACTCCGCCGTGCCAAAGTGACAGATCTTAGCGTTGAACGATGGCTCGGTGACAATTACGCTACTGGATTTTACATATTTATGAACTAAATTGATTTTCAAACCGGCATTATTGTGAATATAATCCAAACCAGAGGATAAATCCGTCGCGATTTGCATCCGCGACATCCACGTCGACAACACCGTAAACTCAGGATTTCTCTTATTACGCAAACAATCCGCTAGGTTGCCGCCGGGCATGAAATCGTAAGCCAGGTAAATATAATCACCTGAAATCGACGCTCCAAGCAGCTTAATTATGCTCATGTGATGGCTTCTGTAAATAACAGATAACTTCTCTCGCAATTCAGATTCCTGTATCGAACGACGAAACTTCCGTTGAAAAACAACCACTTCCTTGCCGCGAAGAGAACACCGCCACGACGGCGACGAAGACGAAGAAGAAAAACGTTTTGCTAGAAAGTTATTGGTAGCGGAACGAATCTCCGAGAAATCGTAGATGTGAGTGTTTTCCGGCAAAGAATTACGGAGGCTGGAAAGCGATGTTCTGGAGGAAACGGAAGCTTCTGCGGTTGCAATTGAGCTGTTGAGTCTGTAACTTGAACTGGTGCCACCTCCGTAGCTGTAGCTACTGCTTGTAATATTACTCGATGATGGATGAAGACGTGTTTCAGATTTACTCGATGATCGAGTCGGAGTTTCCGGCGTGGTTGTTTGCGTCCTTCTAGAGCTCCTCCTCCTTGTTATATTGGGATCAGCTGCGTCCACCGCCATTTTTGTTCTACACATATGATGATCAGCAACCGATTTAGAGAATCAAAACCCTAATTGATTGGTTGAAGGATTCATCAGAGCGTAATCGTGTTTGAGAATGGGTGGAATCGGGAAATGAAGTCAAGTCGTGAGAATGGTGGGGGTATAAATTGTGGGGGGTTGGGGATTAGTTTGTTAATTGTTATATGATATATCTGTAAAGTAGAAAGGGGCCAACTTAGAACTTACTACGAGTCAACGAAGTTAAATAACGGTAATTAGTAATCTAGCCAAATTAAGGAAGTTATTAATAATTTTTTGTCAAAAATTAGTAAATGTCTAAATATAGTCCACGAAATTGTAGGTTTCTAAAATCGTCTACTGTTTCGCCATATTGTCTACTATTTCGTGTTTTGTATAATTTTTTTTTTCATTTGTAAGCTACAAAACCGTAGGTATTGGGAAACCTACGGTTTCCTCTCGGTTAAGCTACGGTATCCCAAACCGTAGCCTACGGTTTTGGGAAAAAATACGGTTTTTTTATTTTTTTTATAATCTACTGTTTTTGGGGTTTCGTCTACTGTTTTGTGAAAAACCTATGGTTTTAATTTTTTTTAATTTTTTTTATAAGATGTAGAATTATTTTAACAATTATTTTGTTAAAAAATTTTAAGAATTCAAAACATTAGACTTTAAAATAAGTAAAAAATAAAAAAATAAAAATAAAAAAAACTGTATTCTTTTTGTGATATAGAGTATTAAAAAGATTGTTTATAAGATGTAGAATTAGTTTAACAATTATATTGTTTATAAAATATAGAGTTGTTTTTTGACCATTATTTTGTTAAAAAATATTTTTTGTAAAATATAAAAATTAGTTTTGCTAAACTTGACTACTTTTTTGTCAGAATTGACTACTGTTTTGTAAAACTTGACTACTTTTTTTTCAGAGTGGACTACTGTTTTGTTAAACTTGACTACTTTTTTGTCAGAGTGGACTATTATTTTGAACCTACCCTATATATATTAAGTATTTCATATTTTTGAAATTATTTCGTATTTTGAAAACTGCACTTCTCTCTAGCTTCTCTATTCTCAAAATTAACATAATGAGTTGTAATGAGTATTTCGTATTGCTCATTACGGATGGAAGATGAGAGTTTGTTAATTCCCAATTATCATATGTTTGGCCACCCGAATACAATCCGAGAATGTTTTATTTCGGTGTTGAATTTTACGAAACCACCACGTACACCGAATTTGTTCATTTGGTGAAGTGCAAGATGGGTCTTCCCGAAGAATCAAAAGTCAGTCTGGCTTATCAACATCCATAACAACTCTATTATTGTGATATTGTTGATGATCGTGATATTAGAAAGCTGATCAAGATAATAAATACCATTGGAGATAAATCTGTGTCTGTATATGTGGTGGTTGAAGAAGGCGTATCGCGTAACGAAGTGGATGCCAGAGGAAAGGCATCTGCAACTAATTTATCAAGTGGAAAAGGGAGCAACAACCCAATAGGTAATTTTAAAAGTCCAAGTAAAAGTCAATATTATAGTGTCGCTGAAAATGTAAATGTAGTGCCTGTAGTGCCAGAACCAATTATGTATGTTACACCGGAGAATTATAAGTATATCGGTGATAATGATGTTGGTACATATGTTAATGATGTTGGTGTAAATCATTACTTTGACCAAAAAAAAGCACTAGACGTGGTGGATAAGGTTGGTAATGAATCTGGAAAACAAGAAGTTCCATTTTTGCATGATGGTGAACTAAAAGGATATGGCGAGTTTGCGGATTGTGACAAGTTGGATATATGTGGTATCCATTTGTATTTCAACATTTCAGCAAAATTTGGAAGCAACGATACAATACACGCATTATTTTGGGAGACATGCAAAGCCTATACTATTAAAAAATTCGATAATGGGATGAAAAAAATTAAAAAGGTAAATGCTTGTGTATGGGAATACCTACAAAACATCAATCCAGAAAGATGGGCTAGGGCACATTTTCCTGGGAATCGGTATTTTCTTATGACATCAAATAGTGCAGAGTCGATAAATTCAATGTCAAGATTTGCAAGAAAGATGCCAATATTGATGTTGATTGAGTATTTCCGTGCAACAATGCAACAATGGAGTTTTCAGAAACGTAATGTTGCAGGTACTAACATTTTATATATAATAGTACTTGAAATGTTTTTTTTACTACTTATATGATATTATGAAATTATGTATATTTTTTTAGCTGAAGCAAAAACAACACTCACCCCATGGGCTGAAACGATTATTGAAGCAAATAAGAATGCTTGTAATAATTGGATGGTGTATCCTATCTCAAATAGTAGATTTGAAGTGAAAAGCTCTAATCACAAAAGTGTCATTGTTGATTTCCAACAAAGAACCTATACATGTAGGTGATGACAAATAGATGGCTTACCTTATGGCCATGTCATTAAAGTGCTCACAATGAACCGTTACGAAGATTGTTTGGAATTTGCTTTAAAAGCTTACTTTACAGAGACACCGAGGAAAACTTACGAGGAGTCTGTGAACCCCTTACGAAGTCCATATGAGTGGGAGATTCCCGATGGTTTGATGATTGTGAAGCCACCCATAATGGAGAGACGTCAGCCGGGTAGACCAAGAAACACTGGTCGTATTCCATCGCAAGGTGAGCGTCCCATACGACAAGAATGTTCTACATGTGGTCATTTTGGACACACGAGGAATGATTATACGGGTAGGGGATCGGGGAGCGGATCTTGGGGGGGGGGGAAATCGACACCAAAGGGCATAATGACTGATGAAATCGCATCCGGAAGCGGGTCACAGAACGAAAGCGTGTACCCTACTTTTGATTTGAACAGCACATTTGATTTAAATTGTCCTTAGATTAATGTACGAAAGTAATGAATTCCCGTATTTGTAATCTGTATTGCTTGTATTAAACTGCACTTCTGACATTTTTAATTAAATCTAGTACCCCACTTATTATCTACTTTATTCCATGAAAAATAAAACACAAACATTAAACATTATAGAAAACGAGATACATCAGTAGCAAACATTACATAAGACATTTCACATATAAGAGTCTTCTACATGAAATATTTGTTATTTTTAACTAGAATCCATGCATCCTCATACTCGAAGTCACTTCCCTCGTGCTCTAAGATGTAATGGTCTTTAACCAATTCTAAAAGATCTTCGTCGTTGTTTGGATAACGATACCTATTTTTAAGATGATGATACCATCGATTGAACCATGTGATTTTTTCCTTTAAATCCATCCACTTACCAACAATATCTTCTTGTGTTCGGTGTTTTCCTTCTCCCAACGAGAGGTTAAACATAGCTGTTATGCGGGTCCATTCCTCACCTTCAAAGCAATCAGGGTTAACCATGGTTGTTACATCCTCGTAAACGTTCATCCAACATCGTGTTACCACCATTACTTCTCTTATCGTCCATGGATGTGGAGTATTGGATGGAGCAGCTGCATATGAAGATCCATAATATATCATGGCCATCCTATAGCGAAACTGAGTAGCAACAACAACATGTGCCATCGATATACCAATCGGTCGACCTGAAACAAGCTGCTCCATGAACATCAACATAAATACACCGCACTCTCCAAACATCCCTTCTTGTTGGGGCACGTTCGTAACATCCGTAACAGTGATGGATGCTTTCTGAACATGCAAACCCATGTGGTTCCAATAGCCAATTTCCAGCAGAATGCGGTCCATAAGCTCTTCAAACCGCACAAAATCAATAATCTTCAAGCTGCCAAATAATCGGAAGCTGTCGTACAAATTCAACGACAGCGTGTCCATCCATAACTCGCCAAGTACCCAATGATGTGGGTTGATGCATATTGGAAAATAAACCTGTTTTAACACACAACCGTTGCAATTAATTACATCGTTTAATTAGTTTAATATGACAATTAAAGTGACTGATAATATATATTATTTCTGTAGTTACACGGTCAACTTCTAGCCAAGATTTACATCCATCCAATGGGTCAAACGGATTTCCCATTGCACTTCCTGCCCACTCGAACATCTCAAATGCACCAAAAAATAACGAGGGCATGATTGTCCATCGAGCATCGTTCGGTCTCCGCTCATTCAAAAGCCTTCCTCATATATCAACATGTTGCATTTGAAATTAATTTAAACATAAGTAGCTTATTAAATTATTTAAATTTTAAATATAAATGAATGTCTTCATACCGATTCATCTAAAAATCCCAATTCACTTGCATAAAAAAACAGATCCCAAAACTTTGCTTCCATGTTTTCATTGTATAACCGATGTTTCAAAAAAAACTGCCGGTTTGTTTCCCATGTATAAAGCAGGGGCGTTACAACCCGGATTCACATACGACTCCAATAAAAGTGCCGGGGGATCGCTGGCAAATACGGGGGGTTGTGGTTCGTTGTGTATTACCCCACCTGTACGATATCGGGGGACATTTTGAACCTACATTATATACGTAGTCAATAACTATCCATATAGTAATAAAATTATAGTAAATATGATTTTTAACATACTTACCGAAACGTATGTGGAGCTAAGATATTGAAAAATGTTTCAATTGCCTAACCGGACGACTTTCTTTCACAACAGGAGGCTCGGGTATATGATTTTCCGCATCCACAATCTCGCTAGCAACAACCTTCTTTTTCTTCTTCTTCTACAAAAAAAATATTAATTTTTTTAATATACTTTAATAAAATAAAAAGTTTAATATACAAAAAAAAATTATAACATCCTTCACGATTTCTATTTGTTTTCTAGAATCAAACAATGGTGGATTATCAACATCTTCATCCTCGTTTACTCGATTTGATTTCTGTAGACTACCAACCACATTCTCATTCCCCTACATTTAAAGAAAAAATAATTAATAAAAAGCTTCGTTAAAAAATTAAATAATACATCATATATATTTAAATTGATAGTAATACCTCAAAAGCTTCGTTAAAAATTTCTTCC